AAAGAAAAAAAAGAGAGACAAAACAGAAGGAACTACATAGACCATGATGCTTTGCTCCATTTCAGTGCAGACTACAAGAAGAAGTAACAGTTCTAGGTCTTTTTAAGTCTTAGTTCTTTGGATTAAGCCTTGTCAAAGCATTTTAAGAGGAAAAAGTCACTTATTAACATTTTTGTTAACCTTAAATATTGCAGTAAATATCGTACCATGAGCTCCAAATGCTCTGTTCCACCTTGTGATGTCATGAAGTTGTAGTATTCAAGTGACCTTTTAGCTTTGGTTCAGTAGAGATTGGAAATTTCAGGGCTGAATTCATCTAAATGATTCTAGTGAAGGTGTGTGGAGTTTAAAAACACAGTGGAGCGCTTCCTGTATTGCCGCATGACATCACAAGGTGGAGTGTTTCAGTTTGAAAGAAGAATATGAATGAAACAAAACACAACTCCAGGTCTGTTTGCGATGAGGAAACAACATTATAACATAGAAAATAGAAAGAAACAGAAAGAAAGTAGAGTAATATGTGCCCCCTTTTAAGCAAAATCAAATTTTTGGAGCTTTTATAACATGTTCCTTCATCAAAAACAGACCTGAAGTGGTTTTATATGTCACCCACGCATGTCTGAGTAATTTAGCAATCTCTCCCGGGCCCTATTCTAACCCTTCGTACAGTTAGCTGTAAGATTTTGTCCAATCCCACACTAGAATTCTCCATAAATATACAAAAACATGATACAAATATGAACAAAACAACATACTACAACTTCACAAACCTGATGCGATGTGCAGTAGTTTAATTAGTTGTTGTGGTAGCGCACTGACGGGGGAGTGACTCAAAAATTATTAAACACGTCAATATGTTATTTTCCGTGAATATACTGTAGCAGCATTTTCAAAACAATCAAAGGTAACACGGTGATCTAAACCCGATAAATTGCCGATGAATACCTCAAACAAGGCAATTCCACGGAAACAGAAAGTTAAAACCACACTTCGGAACATTATTTACAGATACGGTTTACGCCAAATGGTGGAATATTAAAGCCAAAGGAACAACATTTCGGTGGAAACAAGCAAGAGGACGACGACGACAGGTTTTTCAGTTCAATAAACACAATCAATCACACAAAAACACATTTATTTTAGTCTGTTTTGTTGGCTAAAATGTGACATACTGTGGCTTTAATGTCAGTTCACAACTTTCTATAGGCTTAGTATGTATAGAACTTTCACTGATTAATTAATAAAATAGTAATTAAATAATATATGGGAAAGTTTATAAGTGCTGACAATGTTAAAAAAAAAAAAAAGTAGTATTTCTCATATTTTATGTTTTATAGTTTGAAAATTCCACATTATTTCACCGATGTTTTGATTCTGTCTCATAACTCGAATAGAACTAAAAAGAATCTGACATGATTATCAAGTTAAAGAGATACTTTGGAACATTTTTTACAGATACGTTTTACGTCAAACGATGGAATATTAAAGCCAAAGGAACAACATTTCCATGGAAACAAGCAAGAGGAGGACGACAACAGGTTTTTCAGTTCAATAAACACAATCAAAATCAAACAAAAACGCACTTATTTTAGTCTATTGTGTTGGCTAAAATGTTACATACTGTGGCTTTAAAGTCAGTTTTGATGATGAACAGTTCAACATTTCACAATTTTCTATAAGCTTAGTGTGAACAGAACTTAACAGAACTCATTAATTAATAGAATAGCAATTAAATAATGTTTGGGAAAGTTTATAAGTGCTTTATGTAGACAATGTTTGAAAAATTTAGTGTTTCTTGTATTTTATTTTTTATAATTTGAAAATTCCATATTATTTCATCGATATAGAACTAAAACATATCAGATATTATTATCAAGTTAAAGCCATACTTCGGGACATTCACCGTGGAGATTTTGTTGGAGGTTTTGGCTTTCTGTGGAATATTATTATAGCCAAAGCAGCAACATCACCATGGAAACAAGCAGGAGCAGGCCCCAGTCCAGGCCAGATAAGAGTCAGGTTTGTGGAGATGCAAGCTCACTCACAGTAAGAACGCACGGTTTTCAACGCTGCCTGCTTGTCGCTATGGAAATGTGAAAACTTAGACTACAATGTTTCATGGTATAGCATTAAACGTATTCATCTCTGTGCAGATAAGCAGGTGCCACAAGTTACAAATCAGATCTGTGCAGAGGCGAGTACAGCACGCTCAAAGTCAGAATGCATGATAGATTAATGCCGTACAGAGTAAGAGTAAAATTCCAGACAAAGTTACACACTGCACCTTTAATCACAAGTTTTCTCCAAATATGTGTACTTTTACTGCAGTATTTTTGGTTGAGTAGTACTTTGACTCCGATTTAAAAGTGCTATATTACACAAAATTGATTCCTGAGAGGTTTAAGTCGTGTTATAATGTTGTTTCCTCCTCAAAAACAAACCTGTAGTTGTAGTTGTAGTTTTGTTTCATTCACACATGTCTGTCTACATCTCCAAAGCTCCAAATGCTCTGTTCCACCTTGTGATGTCATGAAGCAGTAGTTTCCAATTTAACCTCTACATTTACCTTTACTTCATCAGAGATTTTTGGCAATTCTTGAGCTGAAATCATCCAAATGATCCTAGCGAAGGTGTATGGAGTTTAAAAACACAATGGATCACTTTATTCCTGTGTGACATCACAAGGTGGAACGGAGTGTTTTCAGTTAGAGAGAAGAACTCGGCTTAAAAATTCAGGGTTTGAAGAGGGAGTGACTTGAAACTTATTAATGTCATGTCATTTTCCGTGAATATAGAAGCATTTTCAAAACAATCAAAGGTAACACGGTGATCTAAATATGATGAGTTCGCAATTAATATCTTATAGAAGACAATTCCACGGAAACAGAAAGTTAAAACCACACGGAACATTCTCTACAGATACGTTTTATGCCATACGGTGGAATATTATTAGCCTGATTCATCAGATGGTTTCACTTCATAGAAACCATCTGACCTCGCAGCGTTAGGGTTCATTTGCTCGACAGTATGTGGGTACTTTTTTTAATTTAACCAATCGCTGCTATTTGGTCGTGACATATGTAATGCACCGCTAACGGGGCTGTAGGAAGAAGGGCAATAACGTCTTTCCCCTTGATAAAATTCACCAAACATTGTTCCGGCTTTAAACCGTTGCCAACACAGAATGTATAGCTCTTCGTTGATTGTGCCCAGAACCGCACTTCCGGGTTTTTTGTGAACTGTCTAGTGCAGAGGTCTCCAGCCTGTAGCTACCTGTAGCTCTCCACCCCCTCACAAGTAGCTCGCCAAAGGATTTTTGAATTATACGCATTGTACTAAATTACTAAAATTTTATTACCACTGTAAATGTGTTATTTTGAACCTTGAGCTCTGACAAATGTTTTATATGAACAACAGTTAAGGCTGGTCCTCTTATATCGACTCTATTTCTTGCAGCTGCTAAAATGAGGAGCTCTCCGGCATTTTCATTTTGTATAGTCAGCGCACCAGAAGCAAAAGGTTGGAGATTCCTGGTCTAGTGTATTCTGATTCCTGACCTAGTCACTGGAGAGAAATGAAACTGAGTAAAGGCACTAGGTGGGGCCAGCCTGACTAGACCATTATCGCCAAAGGAACGACATTTCCATGGAAACAATCAATTTAACAGCTAAGTTTACCTTTACTTCATTAGAGATTCTTTGCAATTCTTGTGCTGAAATCATCCAAATGATACTAGCTAAGGTGTATGGAGTTTAAAAACATAATGGATCACTGTATTCATGTGTGACATCACAAGGTGGAACAGTGTTTTCAGTTAGAGAGGAGAACTCATCTTAAAAATTCAGGGTTTACGCATTAAAACATGTGTGAATGAAACAAAACACAAGTCTCCGGGTGTGTTTGTGATGAAGAAACAACATTATAAATCAGAAAGTAGCATAATATGATCCCTTAAACATGAAGTAACACAGCAAGGAATATTTTTTATGTTTGCCACTACATACACAACTACATTTAACACAGAATATAGGCGTGTATAGAAAACTTCACTTCAGAACATCATTTGGATAAGCAGAGAACCACCAAAACAACACCCGTGCGTCATGCGCCATGGCCAGAGCATCGACCCGGCGTGTGACAGCAACAGCAGCAGCAGCAGCAGCAGCAGCAGTGTCCGTATGCGCACAGCGGGACTATAGTACGCACAAATCACATCAGGCCCGAGGGGGGAAAACGGCCACGAACCGCTCGCCTTTCATTCAAAGCACTCCAGAGCACGCATCACGCATCACGCACGGCGATTGTCACAACAGACCCGCTTGCATGACTTAACCCGGGGCCCGGAGACCATCGGCGCGGCTCGGTGTTGTCACAGGCCTGCATTGTCACCGGGGGGATGGATAGATAGAGGGATAGATAGAGAGATGGACGGATGGAGTGGTGGCCTAACTAACACCCAGCTCCCCGCATCCTCCTCTCCTCTCTTCTCCTCTCCTCTCCCGACAAGATGGATGACTGCACTCCCGATCGTATCACGTAACCCGGTTAGCTCCCCGCAGCCCCGTTTCTCCGCCGACAACACGCCAGCGCACTCGGCGTCGATTCCCGTCAGATAAATCGACGCCCGGGTTTACGTCGAACCCCAAGCAAGTCAATTCACTTTCTGCGGCGCATTCCCTGCCGCTGCCACTGCTGCTACTGCTGCTGCTGCAACACTAGAGGCCCCTACAATCACTGCAAAACAGCTTCGCTACGGGCACCTCGGCTCCACACGCTCCGCACGCTCAGTTTTACGTTTCTCGGGGTTAACGGGGCCGTACGTGAACGCGCGCCCGGTGGAAAAGCGAAAGGGAAAAGCGAATGCCAAAGCAAGCGAGCTCCACTGTGTGACTGTGTTATTCATCTGCTCGGTTTGTGTCGATAGAATGAGCGGCGCAGGCAGAGACAAGGCGCTGCATCCACTGAACAGACTGTTTTGAGTGAGAATTGCGCAAACTTACCGCAGCGAACTCAGACTAATCCATCGGAGTGTGTAGAGGGGCTTCGTGGCTCGGGTCTGGCGCTGTTTTTGTCTCCTCGGGGTCTGTTTTCTGGGCGTTCGGAGGCAGCGGAGGGACAGCCTTCCTGACGATCGGCTGCTGCTGTCGCGACCGTGCGTAAAGGCGATGACGGCGGAGTGGCACGGAAAGCGCGCGGCACTCACTACGAGCTGCTTCCGGTGACCTTTTCCACATGAACCAGTTTTATTGTCTCAAAGTCACTGGCACTCGGCGCTGGAAGCAGAGGGGTGGGGGAAAACAAGGAAAGACACATGTTATCAGCTCTTCTGGTTTATAGAGACAGTTATAGACATTTTTATAGTTATATCTGTAATTTTGAGGTTTACTATCCTCAACTTTTTCTGCTAAATCGACTTTTCAGAGCTTTTAATCATGTTATCATTGTTTTCCTTTCTCATTTACCTTCTTGAAGTTGTATCTCTTTTTTTTTTTTTTTTTTTTTGCCAATCAACCCAAGTTTTTCTTCACAGTGGTATTGTTGGAAGTAACTGAATACATGTACAGAGAATACACATTTTGAATAGTAGTTTACTGTGCAGTTAACTGTGTTTTGGTACAGAAATACATTTTGGTATGATCACTCTAATTAGGCTTCAAACTGCTCAAAATTGGTGAAGAAAAAAAATATAAAACACAGCTCTTATGGTGTGTGCAAGTGTTTTTCCTACTCTGATCAGTGATAAATAAATGCATTACAAACAATCAAACAAATATAAATAAAAGCTGTTATTAATATTGTGATGTGTGTTTATAATTTAAATGCAACCCTACATGAAAGTATTCTAAGTATTCAGAATACAGCACTCTGATTGGACCATGTATCAGATTACATTACAAAATACATTTTAAAGCAGATATTCAGTGTTAACTAAATACATACAGATAACAAAGGATTCTTCCCATCACTGCAGGCACCCACTGCTCTGTACATACTAGTTTTCCAATTATATTTTCTCAATTGGTGATACACATAGGATTTGGCAGTGTCGTGTAACTAAGTACAAATGGGGAAAAAAAATCTGTGACACAGTAGTTATCCATAGGAGGTGTCAACAACTTCATAGCTTTTTGTTGTGAGTAAGTAAGTAAGTTTTTTATTTATATAGTGCTTTCACAGACATTTGTCACAAAGACACTTTACAGAGCATTATTCATTCACTCCATACCCAGTGGTGGTAAGCTACTATTGTAGCCACAGCTGCCCTGGGGCAGACTGACGCAAGCGCCGCTGCCATGACAATCGGTGCCATCGGCCCCTCTGACCAGCACCATCACTCACACACACACCACAGTCATACTAGGCAATGTGGGTGAAGTGTTTTGCCTAAGGACACAATGACAGTTTTTGTGATTGGCGCCCCCCTGTGGCACCTGATTTTCCTCAGTGGTCTCCCATCCAAGTACCAACCAGGCCCGGCCCTGCTGAGCTTTTGAGATCTGACGGGATCAGGTGTTGACAAGCCAGTATGGCCATAAAGTCGTGATGACGTTTGCAGTGACGTCAGCTCCCACTGGGCATTATTGATCCATAGGTGTCATAGATTATAACTGTACAGCCAGACAGTGACATAAGCACTATATGTCTTCTTTAATGAACTGGTCATGTGCTGACAGTCGTGCAGGTCAAGATCCTTATAAGCAACTTTACTATACACAATAAAATACATTTGCCATCTGCCTGTCTCCATGGAGGTGCCAGTATCTTGTCTGGAATGTGACACATTATAGTATTAACTTTGTACCTTTAAAATAAGCAGGTGACACCATTAGGCAAAGTTAAAGGTCAGATCTGTGGAGAGGTGATCAGATACTAACCAATATCAAAACTAGTATCAAAATTAGATACTCATTTGAGCAGGTATCGGTCCAAACAAAGTCACATGCAGGACAGAAATGAACCTGAACGATCTTGAGCTGTATCAGAACAAATATAAGAGCACATAGACTAATTTACGCCTATGGACAACGATGGAACCTACCTGGACCACTGAGGGTTTACACAGATATAAGGCCACATGGGGGAACAAAAAAGAAAATACAATTGATTTAATGTTGAAAATCACATACTATGAGTGTTTTTATCATCATCATGGTATCAAAATCTGTATTGAGTACTGAGTCTATTGTTTAGTAAAATTGAAATTGAGTTTGAAATTTACCAAAAAAAATAAAAAATAAAATCATAACAACATGGAGACAAGTAGTTACATTGTCCAACTCTGAGGCTGATTCTGATGGAAGACGATACTGAGAATTGTCAATATGTAACACAACAGAGCACATGATCCCAGTGCTGGATGTGCCCTTGAACAGACTTAGGTTGTTTATTTTTGGATGAATTATTTTGTTTTTCATATCAAGTATATGTTACTATAAACTGTAGGAGATTCATTATTTAGTTGCACATTTGTTTACAGCAAATGAAATCTGATAAACGTTTCAAATCTGCCCATAGAAATAACTTTTTTTGGTCTTACCCATAGACTATATATAGAAGTGTACCAAGGGAGTGTGACGTCGCCCACAGCGTTTGGCTCCAGTCAAATGAAGTTCACGGAGGCTAGCAGTTATAGAAGTGAATTTGGAGCAGAGTTCCACTTTAGGAAGAAGAACTGAAGAGGAATAAAAACACCAGGATCATGTAGAGGTTAATACGTACATTTTAAGACCAAAATGATGAGGCTCCAAGCAGCATTTGAAGAGAGAGAGAGAAGCAACGTTTTTCAATGTAAAGTCAATCAGAGCTAGAGTTGATGGACCCAGAAGCGTGCCCATCCTCACTTCCTTTTTGGAATGTGGCAGCTCGCAGGTTCGCTTTGTTCATTTAAAGTCAATGGGCTAACCGTACATCATTTGCACCTTTGCACCTTCTATCAACTAAAAAAGGGCTGGCCTATAGTTTCATGTTCTGTCTTAAATACAGTATTTAGGCTTATATGTGTTCTGTTGAAACTTATTTAGATTCTTTTACCGTAAATGGCCACACTTTCTGCCTCCATGGGCACTGTGCACTTTGAGGAACACTTTCTTTCACATGTTTATCAAGCACAAACTAGAGGAGTGTCTTGCTCAAAGTGCACTAGTAGGAGCAGTAAGTGTCATTGAGCAAAGTCTCAGAGCTACGGCCTTCTGTGTCTCCAGGATTTGACTAAACCTTCATTGTTTTGTTCTCATGTTTATGATTGCCTAAATACTGTGGCGGATGAGGTACTCAATAAAAAAAACTGAAATAAAATTAAATGTATCAAATGAAGTAAAAGTTTTAAAGTAGGCTATCCATTTAAAAATGCACTTAAAGAGTAAAAAGTAAAAGTATTTTGCACAGATTTTGAGATCTAATAAAGCTTTAAATCTATTTTGAAACTGAAAAAACTGAACTGATCTTTTTTCCAGCAGTTTTTATTTGTACACTGGAAAAAAACTACATCTAGCTAAGTTAAAATGACTTAAATGAAGAACATTTTGCTTTATTTGAGTCAATTCAGCTTGACAGGTCAAATTATCTACCAATAGAATAAGTGTGTTTTTCTTAATTCAAGCAACATTTGATTTTGTCTCTTTATTTTACGTGCAAAACGTTGTTGTTTTTGTTATTTTAAGTGTAACAAGATGTATTTTCATATTTTAAATACAAAAAGTCTTGTTCCACTGGCAGATAATTTTACTTGTTAAGTGAATTACTCAAATCATGATAAAACTTTCTTAATTCAAGTCAACTTTGTTTTTTGCAGTGTATATTTGCGTTTGCTCAACTTTGCAAATACAAATGTGTTAAATATAATCCCTCAGCCTTTTCAGCAGGTCTCAAAATATAATAAAAAATACTTTTACTTTTCAGTCCTGTTCAAAAATATAGTGGAATAGAAAGTACAGATACCTGCTCTCAAATGTAGTGAGGTAAAAGTAAAAAAGTAGGCTACTTAAATGTGTACTCAAGTATTTTACTAGTTTTACTTTATTACGTTCCACCACTGCCTAAACATGCCTAGATGTTTTTATTTTTTTTAAATGAAAAAAAAGAAGAAAAAAAAAGAAAAAGGCATGCATATATTTGTCAGTGAAGATTTTGCCTCATTTCACCTCCACAACCCAATCCCCATTTTACCTTTATTTTCCATTTCTCGCGCTTTTATTCTGAAACGCCGCCGCCTGTCCCGTTTCCTGCGTCGGCGCCGTCTTGACGCTGTTGTGATTGCGTACAGCTGATGCAGATGCTCGCCGAACCAGAGGCTTTTTGACGGACACCGCTCGGGCCCAATGACCGCCCCGTAGTGCCCGCTAAGCCCCGCCCCTCCGTGGATGGGTTGGCCGAAAAACAAGACACGATACCGGGGTTGTTTTGTGGTGATCCCCCTCCGTCTGCGCTGTACGTGGATGGATGAGACTGGCACACGGGAGCTCGGTGTTGTAACTTTACGCACAGACACGTCGTTACGATGCGCAAACGTTACTGAACAGCGTTTATTGTTGTTTATTTTTGCGGGCAGAGCTAACAGTTGGTGGTGGTTTCCCTCTGCGCCTGGGGGCCTGCTAATTAAATCCATCACCTGCTGCGTCTGTACGAGCTTCTGGTGAATTTGCAAACGGCAACAATGCGTAAAATTACACGTTTTAGCCGTGTATTTGTCTTATAGAAAAACATTAGACTAATTTTGCACAAATAAGTGTCATCATGATACTAAAATTTCAAACTCGATTCTGAAAATACTAAGAAATTCGTTTAATGCTCGATACCGATTACGATACATTACGATTTTTAGTAATATTATGTAATTTACACATACAAAATAATCTTTTCATCTTCGGATGAGGTCAGGAAGGGCATCCAGTATAGTTCGGCTTGAACCTCCACTCGAAGGTTTGATTTCCGCTCTGACGCAAGTTCTGTTGTTGTGTCCTTAGGCAAGACACTTCACCCACTTGGTCAGTTATGAAAGTGGAAAGTGTGAATTGTAATTATTATAGGGTGACCAAGTGTCCGTTTTTCCACGGACATGTCAGTTTTTTGCGTCCTGTCCTGGGTGTCCGGGTTTTTTTTTTTTTTTAAGTGATGGAAATGTCCGGGTTTTCATGATCTTTCATTGGGGCCATTAAACTGAGCGTCTCTCGTAGCTC